GCATTACAAAGTAGCAAGATTGATTCTCAAGTTTATGCGTCAACAGTGGTAACTTTTCTATGTTGTTCATATTTTTGAATATTTCGCTGCTGGTTTATAATCTTATGATAACCATACATTAAGACAACTTAATAACGGCGCGACAAGGGGTTTTCATTATTCGTTACCAAGCACAAACTTTATTATATTGTATCTGCTGCAGTTTGAAAATGTATAGGGTTCATTGTAAAAGCAGTGAAAAGCTGCATGGGTTAGAATAAAGTATTTTCAAAAGTCATCAAATCAATACCTTACGGGGACTGACTTCACAAATCATGCCCTTTACAACTATAAATGTTCCTATAGATGATATTCTATGATAACCTCAGGTTCACAAAATATTCACACCTCTTTCTATGTTTAAAATTTAGAATTTGCCTCAAAGTTTTTGTACAACATCCCAGTGGAATCCTGTAGAAAGATTTCTTACTGGTCAGTTATCTTGCAAACTTACATGTACTGAATCAGATGAACCCGAAACAGATAGTCTAGAAACGTTTACTCAACTTTCTTGCTTCATGCATCAAGGTAAGATTTTAATTAACGTCATTAAATTGAATCTTTCCAGTACATAAAATATATTTTATTTTATACAATGCTTAGTGTCTGGCAGCACGCTTAAAACCAGTATGTTCAGTTTTCTAAGTTAAAAGTCAATTATGTTACCGTACTTTATATTTATGTCTCGTATAAATTCTGGTATAATTGAGTACCAAAACTATCACTGATAAAAGGATAATAATAATAAATATTGAAGAGAAGGTTCCACGTTTTCCATCAAAAACAACCACACCAGTACTCAACACTGGCAGTTTAACGCTTTTCAACCTGTTTAAATCTAAATCAAAAATTACTAGTTTCATTGTCTAAGCTAATGCTGTTTGGTAACTAGATCATCTTACTAATTACGCTTAACGAGGCTAAATTAATGGGATTATGCTGAGTAAGATTCATTACATATATGATTTGTTAAATAGACGTGATATTTATTCCAAACATTTCCAGTGAAATTGTTTCCTGAAATGGTACTCATTTGTCCGCTTGTAAACATGAAGGTAGTTGTTAACTGTCTAGAATTTTGCATGATACTAGATATGTTTAAAAGAGGTACCAGGTGCTGTTTCGCGATTGCTAAATCTGCTATGTGCATGTTGAAGTGGTTAAGTGATGATATCGAAGCTCCTATTAATTTTCCTATGTATGAATGATTCTTAACGCCAAATCTATTTGATTCCCATCAAAATAGATTGCTTTGATTTATATAATATTATTTGTTAATTACTGCAGATGTAAAATATTTGCTCACTGGTATTCGAAATGGATTAACGGGAAATTTAACTAAGCATTCATCTTTGCTGGATCGAAATGCAGTTTATAAACGTCTATCTCTTATTAGTCGGCTTCCAGCTTACTTATGTATTCATTTTGTTCGCTTCTTCTACAAGGAAGATAAACAGATTAATGCTAAGGTACGTCAGTAAGTGTATTGTAATAATGGCTATAAATGTCCAGTTTATGTATAAATTACAACTTTAAAAGAAAACGAATAATTACTGTTGCCAGTCCGAAATGTTCCTGATTGGAGATAACTAACAGTCATGTTCGTAGAAAATACTCGGAGATCCTCTCTAAATTATCCCGTTGTATTAGCTGCAAATTCTGATTATTGTGTTACGTATATTTCAGCTTTGTGGTTCGTCAATTTAAACTAACTACATTTTTATAATAAAAGTTGTTGATCTCAAAAGACAGTTTTCGTATAAAATTCACGCTTATGGAAATCCTTGTGATGCAAAGTAAAAGGTCTGAGGAGCGTCGTTGGTACATTTTACTAAAAGATGTATCTCGTAGTTCCAAATGATCAATCTTTATTCTGAAGGTCGTAAAGCTTTTAAAAAATTCGTGATACTATTATGCGTATTATTTTATAGATTTTAAAGGATGTAAAATTTCCACTAACATTGGATATGCACGAATTTTGTACGCCTGAGTTGCAGCAGAAATTACTACCCATGCGTGAAAAACAGCGCCTCAAAGAAGATGAAGTGGTTAATCGCTCAAGTCAAACAAATACTTTCAAAAGTAAACCAGGTTTGTATTACTGATAAGTGGTTACGTAACGTAATTTTAAACGTTGTTTTAACGTTACGTTATTTTTAGGTTTTATTATTTATAGACAATAAAAGCAGGTAAGTTTTTTAAGACTTTCGAAGTTCGAAAAAGTAGCAACAGTCATCGTTCAAAGAGCATATACTAAATCTGACTGACAAAGCCATCACTTAGTTATTTTTAGGGTAAGTATAATATTTGTTGCGACTACATTGAATGTTTTCCAGTGAACGCTGTCTACATGACAAGTGAAACAAAACGGTGAAATTGCCAGCAATGATATGTTGACTAAATTTAATACTTTTCAGAAACAATACTCCAAGTGTGATCAACACTAAGACAGATATAAACGATGACAGTCGGCAAATAATAATAATGATGGGGTGATGTTCTTAGAACATGTCCGAGTCATCAAACTCAGTATATCAAGATGACGACCAATGTTAAAATATGGTGAGATACATTCCTGAACCTTGTAATAAACAACATGGTTCATCCATAGGGTCAGGACAACTAAATAGCGACCGGACATTCAGTTTATCAGACGTCCCAGTTTTACAACCGTAGGTCAGAAATATTTTTGGTGATTGCAATTGCCAGATAAATATTACGAATGCCATAAGCCAACTAAAAGTGGGTTCAGCCAAATGTTCCACCTGTGATGATTTCGAATATTTACGGATATGTTCATATTCACGTAAACTAATTCATTGACACATTTCTTCCAGATTCTGTACGACCTGATCCATTCCAAAATCCTGACTTGTACGAACCTAACTTTTTCGCTGATGATCCCGGTTCGAATAACTCTGGGTACTACGATCTTCAAGGTGTTTTGAGCCACCAAGGTAGGACAAGTACCAGTGGGCATTATGTTGCTTGGGTGAAAAAACAAGGTATGCTTTACGAGGTATGAACATGTAAGAAGTATTTCATATTTCAAAATCTTTTCATAAAGACAGGTAGACTGAATGAAAAATGAATTTATATCAGCAAGAAACGTTGCACACAGGATATCCAGACAGCAAAATGGCCACTAATATTCAAACTACTTTCAAGGTTGTTACAAACAATACCTAATCATCAGTCTTCTATGATTTTCGTTTAACTACACCCCCCAATTAGTGTAAGCATAAACTGGAATCTAGCACGTCATACCTAACATTTTAGATCTCATAAACCTTTGTATCTGTACTATTGTCATTCTAGACTAGCTAGACATTTATTCTAGAAAAAATTACAACTTTTCGGCAAAACATTCGAACTCCTCAGTAAAAGTTTCGATACTCATTAAGCATATATTAAACCTAGTTCTAATACATTTTTAAGGAATGACACCATATAATTCATTGTCTCTAAGTTCATAGAGAACAGAGTATTAAAGAATCTTAATTATTATCAGCCGTAAACATATTCTAAACATCATATGCATTTCCCTTAGCAGAATGTTGGGTTTTTGTTTGATTGACACTTTTCAAAAACCTTTATACACTCTACATGATTCATTGAAGAAAAAATAATTTGGTGTCACTATGAGCAGCTGTTTGTCAAGCAAGTTCATATTAAACTGCAAATAAAAAAACAACTACCATTTTGCTCCTAAAATTCATGCTCCACTTTTTATTCATTTCAATCACTATATAGGAATGTGGTTTAAATTTGATGACGATCGTGTTAGCCAAGTGACCTCAGAAGATATTTTGCGCTTGTCTGGAGGGGGTGATTGGCATTGTGCATATATTCTGTTATATGGGCCTCATTTGATAGAGAAGAATGCATGTAAGGATCCTTCTGGGAGTACCTTATGAAGTTCATAAATGCACAGCCTAGAAAAATTAACAATTTCTGTTGAATAAACCCGTTTTTTAAACCTGAAATTTTTATAAAACGCCGTTCGTTATGAACGTTTGTCATTATTTTCTTTTCATGAAATTGTGATAATTTGTCTTATAAAATCGCCGTGTTTGCTAGTTGTTAATGTTTTTCAGCTCTTATAACCATCCAGACTTCTGAGCGACTCATTTAACTGCGAAATTGCTTTTCTTGATTCAGCATTGCTTGTGTGGTCAGAAATTTGGCAAATAAAATATGCTGTTGGGCTTTCATTATTGTTTGTTTATCGACTGGTATAAAAAAGATGTGTCCGATTATAGAATATTCGACATGGGATTAATCACCACTGAGCTATGTGATAAATAATTAGCGAACATGTACTATCATTTAAAATTTAGTCGAAATGCACAAATCTTCAAATAAGCATAATTGTGAGCAAAAGAATTCCCTAAGCATTAGGTTTTGTCATCCAAAAATGTTTCGTGAATCGAGCGGTGCATTATACGCTTATAAATATTATTCTTTGAAAAGCAATATTTACCTTTCGGTCAGATGCTTCCACGTCTTTATGTACACAAACCTGCATAAGTCTAACTTCTGTACGAGAAGAAACTGTCAGTTCACCTGGTCTCTGAGATGAAATTTATTTTAAATTGTATATAACTATTTGAAAAGTACAAGATCCACGATTTTAGCGCATAAATATGCATTCTTTTTTTGTCAACTGCTAGCTAAGTTTGCAATGAAAATAAACTTCATTATCACTTAAATTCAACAGGGAAGCTGTTCCGAAAATGTTTTGTTTTTTCCACTTGATTGATTTGATGAGTGATACTAATTCTTTCATACGCCGAGTTTAGACAAATTGGATTCTAAGAGTTTAACCGTCTGAGTCGAGATTCTTATCATCTGGCCACAAGGATATTGCTAATTATCCGTCCTTCTTGATAGATATTCTGACTTCCCTTAGCTATCTTTGTCAAATGGTACACAAGGTTTCATGTAAAAGACCCAAAATTAGTCAAGTTAGTTTTTGTATTTGTAACCAATTATTATAATCACAGTGAAATGAAAGAGTTAAACTATACAATAATCAATAATAAAGTGAGCCATAAAATTTGGAAAGTCAATATAAAATTTCGTTTCTGACAGGTCATTACATATGTACAATTGTTTGGTCTCCGAATGTGTCAGGTTATTTTTAGAAACAAACTAGATTTAGCTTCAAAAAATAACTACAAACGTACAGTTTCTATAACGAAGTGAACGGCAGTCGCCGAATTATTTTGCAGGATGCGGAAGATAGGCATCTATGGTTTGTGATATCTATAAAATTACAAATGAGGATTGTTTATATAATGGATAAACTACGGTAGTTATCGTAACGTAAAACACATGTAAGTTTATGATATTACCGACCGTTTATACACATTCTGTGTTAAGTATAAACCTCAATAAGTAATGGTGGACTATTGGTAAAAAGGGAATCGACATAAAAGATTTACGGAATCTTGAGGGAGTTCGAATCAGGTTTAGAAGACAAACTCACACAAGTTAAAATAAGTAGCTCATCAGATCGTAACTCATGCACGATCAGAATATCTTTTTTGGTTTGCTTTGAGAAAAGATTCGCAAGTAGATTGCACATCACTTTAATCAAGGTGTTAAACTCTTCTGGCATTCGTGTTTACACAACTTTTATTACAGACATTGATGTCTGCATTATGGTTTTGAAAATATCTCTTACCTTTGCGTGAGTTCATGCTCATCTCTATTGTAGTTACTCATCTTAAAAACAAGAGTACGAATAATGAAATATAAATACGTCAAAACAAAACTGCTAGATTTGTGTTTATCAGATTACACAGTGGCGTGTGTACCGTAGTTACAATCTTGCCTAGCTAACAACTATATTTCTTAGCTGCTATAAATGAACGGAAGCCACTATTATTTATATGTATGGGAACACCAAATCATTGGATCTGTGTTGGTGCAATGGTAGCTAAAATTGATGGAAATATATTACAAAATAGAATAAAATTTGCTAGCAAATTAATACTCACCGAGTGTGGTGTCGACTGTCAGCATGAACATCCATTTCAGTTGCTTTGAATTCGTTTAATTCTTTTCTAATATCAGCCTAGAAATAATGTTTAGACGGTTATATCATATTATTAATTTTACATTTACGGTTATGAAACGACTCCTAATTTGTTATTTGATAAAAGGATATCCACCAAAATGTACTTTCTAGCTCTACAGCTTGCAAAGTTTTTCGATAAGTTTGGTTGGGTCTCTCATTCCGATGTAAGAATGTCGTAACTGTTAAAGCGAAATGTTAATCGTTGCTACTAGGTATGTATAATAGTGAAGAACACTATTAAATCTAACAGTTTGTAGTATCAGAAATGAATATATAAGGTTAAACTACAAGTACTTTTTCGAGTTATAACTGACGAACAAAGCATAGAACGGAGTGAGTTTTAGCCTGAGTGAATATATGTTGACAGTCTATGATTTTTTCGCATATGTCGGCATAATACGTTTCACTCACTTCACTAACCACCATCTGAGATTTGATAATTTTTTTATAATTGCCATAAAATAGCACGAAAATATTCTCTTACAGAATTCCATTATCTAAATTTTGTTATAATATGTAAATGAATAAGTTCTGAAACCTTTCAGTAATAAGGGATTAGTAACCCATTTAGTCGCAATCTAGAAGTGTTAGCGTATATTGTTTAGGAAATAAGGGATATTGTGTTGTTGCTAAGGGTTTGGTGGCAAGAATTAAAAAAAAGTAGTGTTAGCTGCTACTTTATCTATTAGTAAAACTACTGATTCACCCTTGATTTGAATAAATAATAAGTGGATTAACAGTGTACGTAGCATGAAGTTTTGTAATGAAAATAAACGTTCACTGTATTGTAATTCGTTGGTTCGACGAGATCGCTTACCATTTGCAGCATGAAAAGACATGATTATGGTAAAGGTGCATTTAGAAAATACTAATGGTTAGCTTTCTCCAGATAAAAATTGTAGAAACTTACTTTATCACGTAGAGTTAGACGAGTCCATGGTTTATCAGCTCGACGATCATAGGCATCTGCTTCACTAACTTCAACATAATCATTAAAACGAATAATTTTACGTCGACGCAGCTCTTCAACAGTTGGTCGAAATGATAGCTGAAAACAAAATTTTTAGTCGTAATTAGAAGAAAATTACCTATAGCTAATACGTTCATCATACAGATCGGTCAGGCTCGGACAGTAGTAGTATATCACTCGTGTCTTTTATCTATCACACAAAATTTTCATCAATGTCGCATAACAAGAAGCAAGCTACATTTGATGTTTGCAATTGCTAATGAAAATTTACACTCAAATCGCTCCGAGCAAGACTCATACCTCTGATCATCCATTGTAATTACAACATGGTTAAAAACGTCATGAAAGTATGAAACGTTTTTGAAGAAAATGTCCCTGTGACAATGAAAAAGAATGATTTCAATGTTCGAGCTTGCAGAGGTAGACCTTAAAAACAACGCGACGTCGCTTGCTCCATGGATTCTCAGAACTAAGGTTTGGAAAATATGTAGATGACAAAAATACTATGTAATTAACGGTATGTTAATGGCTCCAAGCAGCGTTCTTTTATGTCATATACTCACTTTACGGTCAATCTCAATCAAAAGCCAAATACTCAGGAATAATATTTATACCAGGTAATTTTAGTACGCAGCTAGATAACTTGTAAAGTTGAAAGATACAGGTCGGGAATTCGGTGTTACAGCTCAGCAGACAGTGACAGTCAGTTATATCAAAAGAACCTTTCATCCTAAAAAGCACCAATTTCACACATAGCAAAATATTTAGTGGACGCGATGGGAAAATTTGGATATAGGGAAATATCAAGCATTTGTTTCTTCTGCTAAATAAACATTACTTGAAGACTGATATTTATAGATCTCGAATTTAAGAGACAAGAGTTCGACCAAGAATACTTAATGACTATTCGTCCACATCCAACCTACTATCTGAAGTTCAATCTTGGAATGAAGAAATACGTATGGCTTACATTAAAGTCTGTGCGGTCATCTTGTCATCAATATTTTTTAGATGCAATAAAATAATCGTTATCAAAAAACATCATTGCTAATTAGGTATCGTAGCTTTTATTATAAGGTGCACAAAAATAGTAATAAAAATCACATGGTAGATTAAAGATATATATGACAAATTGAGTTGATAATTCAGTGAATCTTACGCACATGACTCCATACACTGAGTGCATGTAAATGACCTAGTGTTTAAATGTAAGATAATTATACGAAATTAACATGTCAAGAATTCATTGAAATAAAAAATTACTTTAAGTTGAAATTTTTGTTGTGAAACATACAAGGCTGACAAATGTTGATAAATTACACTCGTTTTCTAGAAGTTACGTGCAATAATTGCCGACTAGTTACCTATGACTGAAATAAGTGTAAGCGAAGTCTGAGTACGTTTTTTTTCTAATAAATTAGGTTTTGTTTCCAGTAACAAACTAGTCAACAAGAAACAATTTAATGATGGACGGACATGAATATTCTACTTTTGAAGCATCCTATGGACTGAATACAAAACAGTCAGTTTACTTCATTAGTTACCTAGTTTAATTCCGCTGAGGAAAGCTAATTGATTGGTGAGGAAGTGAAACACTAACGACTGGGATAGTTAGGACATGTATTACGCATGGCTATTCTCAGTGTGCCGCTATGGCTGTTGTTAGAGTAGGTTGTAAGTTTGCTGGGGGTAGCCAAACCAAGCTATAGGTTCAATTCATGAAGATACTGACTGTTGGACTGAACAGCGTAGGTAGGTTCAAACTACGTAGTAGGGGTTCATGTGATTATCGTAACTAATAGTGACATGGCTGAAATCGCAATGGCGCAAGTGAATTCAATCTTTGTCGAACATAGTTTTATGATCATTTATTTACCAGAGGCAAATAATAAAGAAATTTGATATTGGCAGTTTAGGATAACACGTATCTGAAGTTAGAGTTATCAGATATTTACAAATTATCTTTAATTGAACAATGGGAACAAACTATGGGATAATGACACTAAAAAGTTAGAATATTCAAAAACTGAGCCGAGTCCTATTTATTAATCACTTAGCAAAATTATATTAGGTACTGCAAGTCAGATGATAATGTAGTTGTTTTTTTATCGAGAAGCATTAAAAAAGAGAGACTACAATATTATCAACTAATTCTTCGCAGACATTTATCAGATTAACCTACTGTAAGAAGAATAGAGATTAAGGGGTTTATTTGTACTTAAACACTATAATAAGCCGGTTTTTTGTTTGAAATATGAATCTGAACAGAGAGTACCTAATAGTTTCACATGAGATTACTAAACAAATTAATATTTTTATTACTATTATTGAAAATAAATGCTTTCGACTTGCCACAAACACATATAAACACGTCTAATATGAACTTTTGTCAAATGACGCAAGAATGAGTAAGATTCTTAGTTTTAAAATCATTCTATCCAATTCAATTACAAACAAAAAGGTCTAGGTTTCGAAAAAACAATACATATATATAGAATTAATATTTTGTTACTTTGTGGACACTTAAGAGAATTTAGAGAAGGAACGGACATCTTTTTTTTCACAGAAAAGAGAAGTGAACAAATATTTCTGATAAATCATTGACAAAATGTATTAACTTCATATCAACTAAACTAGATAAATTAACCTGGAATACATATCCAGCAGAAAGACGAAACATTTTATAATTACCTGTCAAATAATAAGAATTATTTTATATTCGATTGCAATAAAAAATAGTTTCTTTAATGTTATACTTGTGTTTAGATAATTCAGTTAACAAATACAAACAGAAAAAATACTTAAAGTATTAAATGCAACGTGTAAAGCATATATGTCACCTAAAGGTGGAATTATACAGAAAGCAAGCAGTTGTATTTATGTAATTTATACCAGTTACCTAAATATGATGCGTTATTATTAAGGGGTGATGAGGTCGAAGATAACTTAGCGATGAATTTTGTAGTAGTCATATGGAAAAGATTTCAACGACCAAGTATTGATAAAATGATAAATTAGATTGTTTTTGTAACCACATAATATTCTTATTAAACAAGTATCAATACTAAGGTTGGACATAATAGTTTCAAATAAATTGAACATTGGCTAGCGAGTTAATAATAAATATATTTTTGTTATATTTCAATGAGTAGTAAAATTGTATTTTTGACGTTTAGTGACTTAATGTAAGACATTTCGTCAGAAGCAATTAACACGAGTTCAAAGCGTGTTTTAATTTAATGTCGGCTATTTATTAACTCTGAAGAAGTAGCTTAGACAAAGCCACGAAACGTTAGAAGTACAATTTTTCTACTTATCGGGATATAACAAAAATATATTTATAATTCTTATTAAACGTTGAAGAGAAGTGGGTAGAAAGTTGTATAACAGGGTATCGGACAGTGAGAACATAAATTCTATGCAAAGATGTTGAATCGAATTTTAAAACAACTTATTCTGAAGAAACGATGCATAAAACGATTAGAGCACTTTTACTAGCAATTCTATGAGCTGATTAAGCAGCCATTTTTCATTGAACTTACAGACATACACGTGTCTCTTCTTTACTTTGTGTCCGGATCATTGTTATTCTTTATAAGCAAGAAACTTTGACACAACATAACTGACAAGTATGTATTTAAATAAAAGTAATTCAGTGAAGAAATTTTTTTTTAAAATTTTATGTCTTTTTCAGATTGCCTACAAAAGAACAAGTCAGGAGGGGTCAAGTGATGATTTCATCACAACTCCATCAATTCGTCTACAGAAAGCATTATTAAATCTAAATTGTACGTAGATAGTACATTTCAGAAGTAGCTTTCCTTGCTAGTATCACGGAGAAGCAAATATCAAGGTTGTTTTTCTCGTTATAGTCATACAAAAGCATATGGTCTCCACAAAATAAACATGTAGAGAGTGAAAGAACTTGGATGAATCCATAGTGTTGCATACAATGGTATCACATCTGAAGGGTTGAAAGATTTATGCTAACCCCTCAGTAATCAATAATTGGTAAGAAAAGTTATTCATTTTCATGGGGAATAAAAGAAAATTTTAAAAAAATTTGGAAGGATTTTCGTAGAGTTCGAAGTTGATGACAGTCATCTTTCAAGAGGCTCCTTCAGAGCATTTGTTAGCATCTGATAAAATGGAAAATCTGCCCGGAGACATCTAGGGTTACTACCAGTAACGAGCTCGGTTAACCGAAAAATGATGGATACAGTGTTATCAACAATAACTCGTCAAAAAACGCAAACAAGAAGAAATCATCTAAACCCTTTAAACTCTGCCCTGTGAAGAAAAGGGTTTCGTCACACAGAAAATTTACGATGTGTCATGATGAAAGCCAAGATTCTTCGGGAACCACAAGACTGATGAGCATTCTGACAACCGAAGCAACAAGCTCTGTAGGTACGTGGAATGTTCAAATAACCGCCGACATGAGTACAACCCGACTCTGCTTTAAATAAATGAAACCCATTAAATACAACATGGATAGATAAGACTGACTTCGGCAGAGGTGTTATTATATTCCGATTACGGAGAAAATGCCATAGACAAAGATTTGCTTTGACGCTGTCCAAAGAAGCACGAAAAGCACTCCTGGATGGAAAATTCAAGCAACCTTTAAGACGAAGAAGTTAGGGATCATAATGCATGTAGTTAAGTTCTGCACCCACCAACAATATCATCTAAGATTATAACGACCGCTTTTCCCCGTCATTACAGTTCATTGTGTAGAAATAATCAGGAAAACCCTGATCATCTCGATAAAGGGACTAAATACGAGCAGTCTCTTATCTTCAAAAGACTTAACACTCCTTGAAGGACACTTTTCTTTACATGACATTTTACTTATGAACATGTAATCAGATGTTATTACCCTCTTAAAATTCTTCATAATTATTATTCAACTATTGATATCACCTCTATGTCCTTCCTTTTTTCCTCATATCTATCTCCCATATTTTTGTTCTGCAAATTATTCTCGTCTTGCTATGTTCCTTTAACATCTAGATCATTACACAACTTTCATTTGACACCTACAAACCGCCAAACACTGTGATAAATGTGAGTTG